AGTGAGCGCACCGGCCATCCCCATATAGTATCCGAACCCGTGGCGGGAGCGCCGCCGCGCTCCCAAGCGGTGCACTCTCCAGTGCGCCACCGGGCCGGCCCACTAATTCAACTTTTAATCTGGCTATGCTACAAATCTACAGTGCCAATACAGGTTTTTTTTTTTTTTTTGTCCTTTTTGTGACCGGCCACACCGCACTCAGCCAGTGAGCGCACCGGCCATCCCCATATAGTATCCGAACCCGTGGCGGGAGCGCTGCTGCGCTCCCAGCGCCGCACTCTCCTGAGCGCGCCATGGGGGTCGGCCCAATATGTGTTTTTTTTAACTTTTAAATTTACAAGCAATCATTATACTAGACAATGTTTTCATTGTTAATGTTAAAACAAACATTTCACTATTTTTTATCTAAGAGATTGTTTTTAGTAAATTCCTCCATATCATTAAAAACAGCCAATGAAACCTTTTAGTATTACCCATATACCAAAAATGCTCAAGGTATCAGACTAGTTCATACTCTCAAATAGCCCCCCAAATTTTCAACATCATCTCTACAAAATTAATTTTGTCTTTAAACACTGTTGTGTGTTTCCTCATTCCATTCTTTCAAAATAAATCTTAATAAATTGAACCTATGAATTACGGTCAGCACTTTCTCTAAGCTTCAGGTCTATGAAAATATTCCAGATAAGAATGTAATCTTATATGGGAAACAGAAAGTTGGTTTAGTGATGTGCAATAGTACTGTGACCTTAAGAAGCCTACCTTCTTTATTCTGGCCAATTAAAAAAAAGAAGTTAATCCCCTATTTTTCATCTTTGAAATGGATACACTTAAAATTACTTTTCCTGATGACTAGGGAGTATCATGGGAAACATTACAATACTTTTTAAAGGATATAATAAAATAAACTGAGTATAATTTTTACCATGTACTTTTTAAAAGTTTCTTTTGGGGGTAGTGTTAATGTTTGAAAGACAGAAAAAATGCCTTTGTTTGTTTGTACATAAAGTAAGGAGGTTAGAGTAGAAAAGTATAAAATAATTAAATAGTCCAAAATTCAGTTTTCTATAAGAAAGTTTGAAAAGATATATATGTGATTTCAGAACAAAGGAAAAGTATTTTAGTAAAACATATGGAAGCACATTTGATGAAGAATCTCACCACAGGAATCTAATTCATATTAAGATCATAAACAAGTCAACATCATAAAAATCTTTTTAAAGAGTAATTTCATTAAATTTACATCAATTGTCAACTCAAGAAAAACATACACACATATCCGAAGTAATACATCATTTATCTTACACCAACACTTCTGACAACTTCAACTACCTGGAACAAAGCTGTAAATTTGGAAGTAATTGAAAAAGCAAGGAAACAGTGATCACAAAATTCATGCATTATATTTTGCAAAAGAGGCTTGAAATTATGCTTAGGTAGTCACCCAGATTACAATGGCTTTGAATTACATGTAATTTCGGGTAAATAATTTGGCAAGCTTAACCAATTTTGATAAAAGAATGCTAACTTTGCTAGAGTAACAGCTAGTATCTGAAACATGTGGATCTTGCTTCAAATAAATTAATAAAGAATACTGACTACTACTTCTAACTAACCAAAATCTAGCACCTGCCAAAAGTTTGATCAAGATTCAGCAGAATTTTAAAGAATCTAATGGGCATGTTAACTTTCACTCTTCTTAAACTCTTGCCCGGTAACAATAAGTCTGAAAACAGGGAAACAATGATGTGAACCTCAACCTCTCTCTACAGTTAAAGCTACTTCACTGACTTACAACAATAAGTTTATATCTCTGGGTTTTTTATGGTTTGAGTTAAAAAAAATAAATAAACAAAAACCCACAGAAAAAACATTTTCCAAAATGTGAAAAAAAGAAAAAGCACTATAAAAATTATTTATATCCATGAAACAATATCAAGAACCAAAATTTTATAGTGTCATACTTAATGTTTTTGAAACAAAACTGTTTTTGAAGATTATATACACACATATAAAGAATACATAAACACACACAAGATTATACACACACATAATTCTACTCAGTTACAACATATAAGATTGAATATAATTAATACCTCTTGAAATGTAGTACTAGGAAAGTTTGTCTCAAGAAAAACGGATATAATACCTCTAAGAGAATGAGAACAAGTCCTTTCTTGGGGGGTGGGGGTGGGGCGGCTGGCCGGTACAGGGATTGAACCCTGGACCTTGGTGTTTTTGAGTCCTTTTTTGCCTTGGTTGCCAGGAAGTTCACTTCTAATTTAATGCTTGATACTGATAACAATCTTATTCCAAGTTGCTAATTATCATCTCCTACCTGTAAAGGCTTCCGATCTCTCCTTTTATCATTAGTTGGCTTGGTATGTGTTTGAGGTGCCTTACAGAATAAATTTTAAAGGCGTATTAACATGTTACTAGAAATTAATAGTTACTATTAGGAAATTTTTACAGTTGAGACATTAATATATTTTTTAAACAATCTACCTCTTGATGGTTTTACTCCCCCCACCCAGTAGGTGCTAGCCCCCTCTCTTTTCTTCTGTGGCTAAATAAACTTCTTGAAAAAGTCTATACTCCATGTAACCACTTTATTACTGTCCATTCATTCCTCAACCCACTGCAATTTGCCTTCACAAATTTCCACAGAAACTTTTGGATTTTCTATTTATCTACATAAAACAAATGTAACTAATTATTATATTTGCAAACAATAACAAATTAGAGGTGACAGTTACTATCTAAAATAGAATGTTTTGTAACTATTTTAACCAAAATACTAAGTAAAACTTCATATATATTTATATATATATATATATATTTTTTTTCCTTTTTGTCTTTTTTCGTGTCCGGCAACGGACCGCAACCCTCAGTGTCGTGCCCGTACCGGACCGGGACCGGCAACGGGATCACAACCCTCGGTGTTGCGCCCGCACCTCGCTCAGCCAGTGAGCGGGAACCGGTCTGTATGTGGGATCCAAACCCTCGGCGGGAGCGCCACCACGCTCCCAAGCGGCGCACTGTAGCAGTGCGCCACTGGGCCGGCCCCTAAAACTTCACATATTTTTTAAATATTGAGCAATTTTATAGGACCTTACACAATGAAATTTTAATACAAAAATTTTTATTGGTGTACTTGAACCAAATCTGAAAAACACTTCACAGTGTAGATACATAGATAATGTACTCTACTGTGTAAATTACAATGCCTGTGACCATCTGGTGACACAAAAGCTCACAAAGTAATTCCCCATACCCTTTCTTCCTCCATTTGAAAAACAACAACAGAGAGAGGCGCTGCGCTGAGTTCTGCTTAAGTGATTTTCCTGTAGCTGAGACTAGTTTATGAACATAACCAACAAGGCTGAACTGTGTACACAGGCTTAGGCAGAATCTAACTAGAAAAAACTGCATTAGGGAGAGTGACTTTGGGCTCTGTTTATACTTCAGGTGACCCATTATCTTGTAGCCTACTACCTTGGCCCAGTGCTCTTATATTGCTTGGGCCAGAACCTAAAAGCCTATTCTGTCCAGTGTACATCAACAAATAGGTCTCTCAAAAAGGGCTAATATTAATAGCTACTGGACACTGAACAGACACTGTTCTAAGTGCATTACATTTGCCATTACATATAACACCAAAGACGATGGTAATAATGATAACCACCAAGTGCCTCAATGACTCTTTCCAAACATAATCTTATTCAATCCTTTCAACAACTGTAGTAGGTAGGTGGCATTACTACATTTTAAAGATATTGAACTCAGTTGTAGGGAGGTTAAGTAACTTGCCGAAAGTCACACGACTAGGAGGTATTGGCGTTAAGCCTGGCACTACACTATTTCCAATATTTCCTTTGGGGATATGTGTTTGAATTTGAAATGTGGAATGTCAGGAATACATCTCCCTGTGCAGATACAGAAATCCCCTACTGATCTTCTGGGGACTGCCTCAGACACCTGGAAGAGTGCTAGTGAAAGAAAGCTTTCCTTCATACCTTCCCTTTTTTCTTTCTCTATACCAGCACCAGGAAGAAATTATTTGGAAAGAAAGCACAGGTCTACAGAGGATGAGATAGGAAACAGGGATAAGAGCAAGGAGGGGAGAGAAGAGGGAAAGGTGGTTTCTCACCCATTCTACTGCACTAAAAGTCAGCCCAATATCCACGGGCACTAGGTCCACAAGTTTAATGAAAGGGAGAAGGGGAGGACCTCCTAAGGTTGCCTGTGACTGGCTTTTCAAATGCTGGGCCTATATATAATGTAGGCTATATAAATAATAAATTGTCTGCACATAATTTAGAAACCAAGTGATAAAGCCCACTTGTGATTTAGGATTTATTGTTTTAAGTAATACACATGAAAGTTACAAATGAAAGAAATCTATAAACATGACTTCTTTCCTCCTTGTCTGTATCCTCAGTCCAGTACTCAATAAATCATTAAGAGATTATCTTTGTGAATCAAGAAACCTTAAGCTCTAAAAACTCACCAAGTTGTTGGAGCTTCATCATCTCCCATTTCACCTTCTTCTACATCCATTCCTTCTTCTCTATCCTCAGTGTGCTAAATTGAAAAAAACAGAGAAGCAGCAGTCAGGCAGAAGATAAATGCTAGAATAGGTCATTTACACACTGCTAGACAACTATTATTACAGAAGTCTAGTCACAGTAACTCTCTAGACCTATAGTTAATCTTTAAGGTAATGGGATTCAGGAACTCAAGAGAAATATGACGATGATATAAGACAGTCATAAAGATTTAGTGGAAAGTTTTAAGCCAATATTTCTCAAAATGTGGTCAGTAGATTATCTCTGGGAAAAAAGAATCAATGCTAAATATGTTTTAGAAATACAAGGTGTCTTCAACAAGTTCATGGAAGGAGTATTGTATTTTCTTTTAATTCAATTTTTCCCTGAACTTTCTGAAGTGCTCTTGTACATATAATAACAAAGACAATTCAACAGTAAAATGAGCAAATGGCGGCATGAAGAGGCAATTCACAGAAGAAAAAGAAATTAAAAATAAAAATAAATCAACATATAGTAAGTTCTTCATATAATTCTATGATAATAATCAAGGAAATGTAAATTAAAACAAAGATGACTTATTTTTCAAGTACATATATCAATTAAGCAAAGATTTAAAAAAAATTTTTAATCCGCAGTATTGCTGTGAGGCTGTGGGAAAATGGGCAGGCATTCTCCATGTGCCACTGGTGGCAGTATAAAAGAGTATAGTCTTTTTGAGAAGTAACTGGACGATAGCTATCAAAATCTGAAACATGTTTATAGGTTGACCTAGCAATTTTACTTATTGGAATTTATCCTAAGGAGACACGTGCATAATTCAGAAATGTTATATATAGTACTAGTCACTGTAATGCTGTTATTTTTTACTAGAGATTATCTAAATGTCCATTGACAGGGGATTATGAGATATCCATTCAAAGACATCATGAACCATTAAAAAACTGACACACATCTAAATGTACTGATGCAGAAATAGATCAGTTGAAATCAGAAACTGAATTTCAGAACTGTGTGTATTATATGACCTCATTTTGGAAAAAAAACATACATTTGTACATACACACAAAAAGTCCTGTAAGGTTAAACAGAATATTATGAGTGATTACAGAAATAATACGTATTCTGTATAAGGAACTCAACCAATACTTAAAATAGAAAGTACACAAAAAGACACAAAAAGTCTTATAAGGTTAAACAGAGAATATTATGAATGGCTATAGAAATAATATGTATTTACAGAAATAATATGTATTCTGTGTAATGAATTCAACCAATGTTTAAAACAGAAAGTACAACTACTCCATTAATCCACTTTAATAGAAAGTACAGCTGCTCCATATTTTAAACACTGTTTGAACTTTTTACACAGAATATGTATTATTTCTATAAATTGGAAATGAAGGTTTTCAAATTCTTGATAACTCAGAGGTCCATTCATATGAGTTATCCCAATAACAAACTTATAAATATGTTCTGTCAGAAGATTTCTTATCAGCCTCACCTTCTGACCCAGGGTGCTTTCTTGCTCATTGGTATTGAAAACAGTGACATTTTCCAGGTTAAACTGACTCTGCAAGTTAAGACCTATTAAAAAAAAAAAAAAGATTTTTAAAGCAAATCTACTGACACCTAAACTTGTACAAGAATATAACCTCATGTCATATAACCAAAACATATAAGGCAAAATCCATAATAAAGCAAAAGACAAAAGTCAGAAATAATACCACACTTGATTTTCAAATCCTCTGTAAAATTCACTTCTTACAGGTGCCTTTAGAGTACATAGATCAATAGAGTTGATCCTTGTTATTCATGACTACTCAAGAGCACTTCCACAGAACGCAATATGGAGTAATCTATAATTTTGCTGAAGCACAAATGTATATTATATTAATCAAAAAGCAAAGGTATATAACAAATAAATAAATATATTACAGTTAATGAGGGCCAGGTTTCTTACTGTCAGAGAAAAAAAGTTAAAAATAAGCAGGTCGGGCCGGCCCGGTGGCGCACTGCTACAGTGCGCCGCTTGGGAGTGCGGCGGCGCTCCCGCCGAGGGTTCGGATCCCACATACAGACTGGTTCCCGCTCACTGGCTGAGCGAGGTGCGGGCGCAGCACCGAGGATTGCGATCCCGTTGCTGGTCCCGGTCCGGTACGGGCGCGACACTGAGGGTTGCGATCCGTTGCCGGACA